TCTTGATAATATTCCCTTCCCGATCATTTAATTTTATTTACTATGAGAGAGCATAGTAATTTGTTATTGCGTTATGCATTATAGGCAGTTAGACCTCGGCTTGGACGAAGCGAGGATGCATCTATATAAAATTTAAATAAAACACAATAATCACGAATTACTTGATTACAACGATTGTAATAAAGCATAACGTAAACTTAAAGTTTCTCAATTCATCATTTTACTTTTATTCAACAGATGGCGGTGTGCACATTTGAAACGCAAGAGCAAAACGTTACCAAAGAAAAAATATAGCATTTGATTAATTTTCTATATAGATTTATAAAAATAATAACGTTTCAAAGTATATATTGTTATTTTGTAATATAAGAGTCCTTCTTTTTTATTAAGAATAAAGTTCTTTAGCTAGAGTGTCTCAACTCTCTTCCGTAGGTAAGGTGATTTTCGCACATTAATATATAATAATAAACGTATTAAATTATGTCATTACTATTCTCTTATACTTAGGTTAGACTTGAATATTTATAGTAGGTAGTTGCACATGGCTTTAACTATTTTATTTCAAAAGTAGAATTACAAGTTTTTGCCACGAAGTTGTTTCCGCATTAGTTTCGGTTTGTATGTATAGATTAAATATATTGCTAAGACAATGAATAGGCGATATATACTTCTTAAATTTTGTGGTATTTATTATTTGTCAAACCTTTAGATCTTCTACAGATATTAGATAAGGTTGAGCCTAATCAATAGTAATGGCTTGCATTGCAAACGCCCTTGCATCGTGAGTAGTGTTACACTTTTAAAGATTCTTTAAATTGAATGAACTCCTACACTAACTAATCAAAAACAAAATTGAAGCCTCTATATTTTATTGTTATTGCATTGCGTGTTGAGAGGTTTAAAAACTAACATGCTGGCTCACCTGATGTTAAGTGATACCAAGTCAAATTGATTCGGAAATACTTCAGTGGGCAGCTGGTTCCACATAGTAGTGGTGCGCGGCAAGAACTGCCTTAAAAACACTCAGACTTTGTGAAACGACAGACGTGGGGTGATACGGGTAGAATTTCGTATTCTGCCTCGACGTCCGATGATGAAACTCAGCTGCAGGTTAATTATCATTCAAACCACTCCTCTGAACACTCTTCGTGGTAAATGCGGTAGAAGATGCAGAGAAACCCACATGTCTACGCAACGCCAAGCGATCAAGCCGCCTGCAAAACTCGGCTCGGTCATGTAGCGGTCTATTAATTATTTTCATAAATTGTTTAAGTACCTTTATCGGGGGTTTAGTAGATATTAAACGCTGTAAAAATATGACTCATCTTAGACTAATTAGGAAGTTTTTTACTTATACAACATAATACATGATTACTGTATCTGGAAATAAGATAGAATACTTTTTCCTTGTTTCCTAATTATTTGTTTTTTTAACTCCTTCGAAAACTAGGATATACAATGTATCACTATTTGCTAAGAATATTTTTATATAGTTTTACTAGAATTGGTCTATGCTGTGGCTCGATTTTTAGGTAATATTACAATATTATGATATAATGAGCTCGAAATTAATAATAATTATCTTGTATAATTGGTGAATTAATATATTTTTCGTTTACACAATACAAGGTTTACGTATTGTCCTTTCCTTCCTTGTTTTTATTTTAATAGTGTTTTCTTGTTGGTAGAACACGAAGTGTCTATTTTAATATACATTTTTATCCATGACACAAGGCCGTGAACTGACTTGTACAGATAACTAAATAAAAACAGATTAAAATTAAAACAAAACAATTGACGTTCACACGATCTGTGAACTTCAATGTTATATATTGTGAAGTCAATAGGAAAACAATGCAACTATATGAATAACGTATGCAATAATGATTTATTTTTATATTCTATTTATTTAAGTAGCCAACAGCTTATATAATAAAAGTGCGTGCGAACAAAGTATGTCAGAAGTAAAACTTCTTTGGCAAACTAATTTTTAAGTCTTGTTCATATTTAAACAAATCTAAAACATTAGATTTCCGAGACTAAGAGGGAGGGAAAAAGGAAGATATGTTAGGAATTTAATTGTCATTTAAATATTAAAAGTGTCGAAAATTAATACAAATTATATTTTTTTTATTTATTTCTTTGTGGCAAAGTGGTATTTTAATTTACAATTCGTCGTTTTAGATTTCAATAAATTATTTTGCATAAAATATGAAATACTAATATTTCATAAATTCTCTTTACGAAATTTTAATTTTAAAAATATATTTTCTATAAGGTAATTCGCCCTTCTCACTCTCTCTTAATCGGTCTCAATCGCTCTCTCCCTTTTCTTCGACAAAAACGCTGCATAGATTCGTGACGCTAATATGATTATTATTACGTTTGATCCGTAAAAATTACAAATAAATATGAGGATAAAAATTGCAGTCCATGGCCGCATGAAAAATAACTTTCTATTTATTATTATCTATTGCCCCTATGCCAAAGCGTGTGGGATATACATTTTTCTGTTTGTAAATAAACAACCTAGATAAGGGGCAAACGAGAACCTGACATAATCAAGGTAATCCCCTCATTACAAGGAATATTTACTCAAATATCGGTCATTAGGTAAATATTAGTTGCGTCTTTAGAAATACCCATATAATTTGCTTTATGTTGATTTTTCCGATGAATTTCGAATGAATATTTATTTTCCTACTACTATAGACCTAACCTATGTAAGATGTTTAATAAATATATAGTCATCACTGTTCACGTATACGTATACTTTATTACCAATTTTTGTTTTATCTTATGAAGAACTTTTTTTATATCCAAAGGGATAAAGCAACCTGTTACTTAATTTCTAATAAATATCATTACCCAAGATTTTTTTTACTTATAACAAATAAAACGAATCTTAAATTACTAAATCTAGATACCTACCTCAAATTAAAGCTTCCCCTTGCTATTAAAGAACAAATCCGTGAAAAGGTATTATCAAAATAAAACAAAATTACATCTTAGTACTTTTATTGTACAAAAATACAAAATGTAGGAATTATGTTTCGTAATACATTTATCAAGTAGCATTTAAGGTAAACTTTTTATAATGTACAATTAAAATTATAATTTCCTATGAAGCTGAAAACAGTTGGAATATTTGTTATCTTTGAAACTAAACCTTACATTAATAATATATGTATTTACAATTTCTCTGTTCGTCTGTCTACTATTTATTACGTGTTTTGGTAACTGGTAACACTTGGGTACTATCAGCAAACTCATTAAAATTTAATTAATTATTCACTGGGAATTACCCTAAGGGAAAAACAAAGATTGGTAGAATTTATTGACGAATTTTGTAATGGAACTAGTGAAACACACAAACATATCACACATTTTTTTATATAATTGTTATTTTTTTTATCCCCTAGCTTTCAAAAGGCTAGAGAGCTTTTTTTAGAGAAATACCGTTTCATTTGTCACGATTTTGGCTTGCAGTATCTTGACATAGAAATTCCAGCAGATACGGGACTTCTTGTCTGAAGTAGTATTTATCACATGGTACGCTTTATACTCCTATATAAAAATAATTAACTGATTTAATGTTTAGGATTCAAAAAAATTGTAAATGGCCGTGTTTGCTGACAGTACTTTTTTGCATTTTAATGGGAAGAATGGCACGTGTTATTAACAAAATTTATAACTTACCACTATATTTAGATGTGTTTATTTTTCTAGAGCTTAGTAATGAGTAGACATGGCGGGTTTAATATTCATCTAATACTAGCAAATGTTTAAAAACTGGCTTCTGTTTCAAGTAATACATACACACAAACATACTGTTAAATAACTTAAAATAGAGGCGCCTCGGATATATATGACTATACAATGATTGAATTTTTTTTTATCGTACAATTGTATTAAAAATTTGTGTTTTTTTTATTTATTTTTCCGTTTGATTTCAAATTATCTGAGAGGCATTAAAAATATTCTATAGTTAAAGGAATTACGGTAAATTGTCGTCGACTATAAAATAACGAACAGTTTCCATATCGTTTTCTACTAGTATTTTCCAACGAGTCGTATAATTTTCTATGAGAATCTTTTGTGACTATTATCTAGTACTAGCGAGATATTTTTCTAAAACTTATTTCTGCTTCGAAATATATTCAACTAGTATTTGTATGGAAACAGGCTCTAATGAATAGTAACGTATTTTTGACGGTAAGAAAAATTCTCTATTTCCTCATTTTTTTATTTATTAGAGTATTCACAGACCAAGAAAATAGAATCTTTTTTTTACGTAATTACATAATATTGTCCAAAATATTTGTTATTAATCAGATCTATATTAAAAGTTACATATATTAATTCTCAGAAACTCGCGATTTGTCATACACGGTTTATATATATACTGTATGTACTGTACATTATATAATTTAGGTTTTAGGCTGGGCCTCAAAGCCAGAATTACTATCTTAATTCGTATTTACGTAAACATTCAAGAGAAATTGGTACCTGTTGATACTTTTCCACTTTTATGAAAACGCAATTTATTTTAAAATATGAATTGAGATAGTTCTTACTGGTTGAGACCAACCATATTTAAGAAATAATCGACGACAATGTAAGGGTTTAATCTAACTAAAAGACGACAGACTTATTCATAGTTTTATAACATTTTTTTAACTTTTAACGAAGATTTTTAACGGGTCGTCCAGTCAATAGTTCAAAAATAATTTAGAAAATTAATTACTTCTCTTGCTTGAGTTTCTCTGAATTCGTTCGTCAAAATTGTCTGCTGTCAGTTTAATTATATTTTAATATGGACTTATTTGGTTTAATCTATCAATAAATACATTATAAAAACAATCGATAACACCGTTTTAAAGTATTCAACTATCTCTTTTCATCATAGAGTATACACAATGTGACAGAAAGAGACAAAAGAGTGGTTTAGATTAGAATTTCTATGAATAAGGGTATAGTCTGTCGTCTCTTTTAGTAAGTTAGAAGTTAGAGGTAAGGTTAGCTGTTGAGCGACGTTGTATGTGAGGTTGGAGTGACAAGTAGCCGCCGTACCCGCCCTCGACTATACGCAATACGCGTACATTGATCTGAAATTAACAAAATATTATAAATTTCTCTGAGTAATAATAAAATATATTACAAAATATTTAATAATAACATTGAACACACATCAATTCATAAAACAGCTTTAACAAAATTTCTCAACAACTAACGTGGTGCCGTAAAATATCTTGAAAATAACCAATAAATTATCAAAAATCGACAATTAAATGAGTCAGCTGACTTAGCGTCATAGAAATATTGGAACCCCACTTTTCTATTTTTAAAATCTTTCGTTTTTATTTGTATAAATATTATTTATTTACATAGCCTTGCCGATTGATCTCGTAATCCAGGAAAACACCTTGGTAATGATTTGACCACTACTAGTTGCCACAATATAGTTCTAAGTAAACTAGCGAGGTGGAACTTGAAAATGGATATACAGATCTATGAACGGCACTAGTTTTCTACCAGCTCCTAGCAATTATCTATCTACTAGCATTTTAGAAGTATCATATACTATATAACAATCTTCTAAACAACAACTTGACCATTTGACTAACTGGTCTATGGTTTATCTGTTGTCTTATAACAGCAAACACCTTTCGATTCCAATATCAAACATTTGTTTTTTAGCTTACCAACGCATAGCAACTGTGAAACGTGGGAACTATCAGAGAATAATATCAAATAGTTAAATTATTAAATTGAATTATTGACACAAAAGATGATAAATAAATGATTTAAGAACGTTTTTGCAATTCAGATAAAACAAAAATAGCATTAAGACCAATCAAGTAGCACATCCTTGTTTAAAGTTTGTTATAAGTAGTAAAGTTTATTATTTCTTTATTATACTTAAGTAATGGTCAACGATAGCGAAATTAATATCTAGAAACATTTAATTTCTTATTTTGAATAAATGATTGTGTTTTGTTTTTGTTTATGCATTAATATAATAAATATTTGTTCTCTCTATCCCTCCAATATATTTAATTGTTCTTACCTCATGCTTAGAGACAGATCTCTTGAAGAACTTGTGGAATCTGGTTGAGAGCACCCAAATAGCGCCGTTGTCACGTTCTGCCCATCTTACTTCGGCACAGAACTGCAATTTCTCAGCGTCTTGGGCTAAAACTCTGAAAAGTAATTAATCTTTAATATTACACTTATTTGAGAATACAAGGCAGCCTTATCGCTAATGAGTCATTTTGGAGGCTTTTATTTAATAAAAATCAAGTATGATAATACCCATTTAATTAGTAATAGGATCGTTCAAATAAGCCGTGAATATCTTTAGTTTTTTTTTTCATTTTTAAAATTTTGCAATAGTCTTCAAAATTCTCGTATCATTTATTAAAAGTAATAAATAAATATTAAATTATTTAATAAACTTCAGTTAATGAGAATAACGTAAATAAAAAGACGGCTTTCTTTAAAAGTAAAGTAGGTAAAAGTCTTTTACTCTTTGTTACTCAGGCGTGGTTGGTCAATCACGTAGTCAATGTGGTCACATTATTATTAAACTCAAACTCAAAATATCTTGTTTTTTCATGTAGGTAAACAAGTACACATATAAATTGTCAGAAAGAAGTTAAATTAAACGTACATTTACTACCAGTTCGCAAGTCAAGGGCGTAGAGCGGGTAAGAAGAACTGGCAAGAAACTTTCCGCCACTCTTTTTAATCGCCAAGTATTGTAGCATTGTAAGTATTATAAGTGGGATAGGCTAAATTTAATAAAATATGTTTCTATTCCAAAAGTTGTAAGTGCGTTAAAAAATCAAATAATATTCGACTCTTTGTATCTATTATACCTGTGTGAATTGGTGATGGGATTCCAGGCGGCGACAGCAGTTTCTGACATGGGGCTGAAGAATATGGTGTCATCCCTTGGGTCCACGGCAATACCAAGACCCTGAGAGGACTTGCGACCGACTAGATTGACTGGCAGATCAGCACCTTCCGCTGGCGGACCGGAAGCCAATACTGCTGTTGACACGCTGAATATTCTGTAAAAATATTTTGATTTATTATTTAAATCACGAATGTTTCCCAAACTGGATCTCCACTAGCTAAGATCCTTAAACAACTGCCTCGCTTCATTAACTTTCATATTAAATATAAAAATAAAATAATTTATTTATTTTAAATTAAATTTTTGATTTTTTTTCAAGAAAATTTTCAGACTCGCTGGTTATGGGTACTTTGACTCAGACCTATAAACATACGAGCAGGTCTACCAACCACCCTGATGAACTCTCGCCCTATCCTGCCCATCCCAGATAGTCCTTTCGTATAAGATACAATCCTATAAATATATCTCTACCTATTTCGCATATATTTAGCAAATTTACTCCACACATTCTAATTCATACTATATTAGCCAATTCTGTTATTATCTTTGGATTCTCAAGGGTGTATTGTGTCAGAAAGAAGGTTAATTGGTTCAAAACTTTGATGTTAAGTTTGATTTTTGAAGTGAAACTTCTTTATCGGGGTTGGAAAAAAATTTAGTGTAACATTTTTGCGTTACGCGTCACATTTTTCCGTTACGCGCCATGTTGCTTTTTGAAGTCTTTCTTTATCGGCGTTAAAATATGACATATAGTATGTTTTTGACTTTGAAGTTTGACAACGGATTACATTTTCGAAGTCAAACTTCTTTATCGGCGTTAAAATATGACATATAGTATGTTTTTGACTTTGAAGTTTGACAACGGATTACATTTTCGACTTGAAATTTGCTAATCGCAATTTGCAGCAATTAATTTGTAAATTGTATGCTAGGCAGTGTATCAAAATTTACTGTGTTTAAAGAAATAGTTTCGGACCTCTAAACTTAAAACAAACCAATTATGGCTCTGCGTACAACAAAGGTTTTATATAAGTTTCACTTCTTACGTGTGTACACCTAGTACACGCACACATTTTTTTTTTATAAATTTGCAATTTTTGTTTAACCAAGGACAATAAAGCGAGGACAACTTTCTCACTTTCTTATATTCTTCTGTTTAGTGTAGATAAAAATACAAGTTTTTTATTTTTTTTAATAAATCACTAAGACGAAAAAAATACAAATAAAATAAAAAAAATACTGAAGAAAGCTAAATAAAATATTTTCGTATTTATTCTGTGGAACATTGAAATCGGTATGTTTACCTTGCAAAGGTGACTGATAAAGTTATCTAGTTTACATATATTAAAAATAAAAAAACTCACAAAAAACTGCAATTTCCTGTTGATAATGTCAATTATTTCCTTATACATATATAATGTAATTGGGGATTTTAATTATACTATGTCATCAAGTACTAACTACAGATATCATATCAGTCTACATATTTTCCTTCAATTGTTTTATTTATTAATATTATATATAATTTATAACGTGGAAATTACTCAAGTTTTATATCTGTAGTATAAAATTTATAATGATTTGTCAAATCCATCATTAGTTGTGCGTAATTTGCACTAGTTTCAATTGTGTTGTTATAAAACTAAACTAAATAACTTTATTAAATTTCTGTTCCTATTTTTTTATTTAAAAATAAACCGATTTTACTAGAATACTCCTACAGCGCGATTTCCTATAACTAGGTCCGGGTCTCCCTCGTTATAGTTGGGTTTTTATTGTACTTGGTTCGCATCCATAATCTTTCCATAACTACATACTTCGCGTCGGAAAATAAATTAGAATAGGTAAATATAATAATACATAACTTCAACCGGCAAAATTGTGTTTTATTAAATGAAAAGATGTAAAACATACTAACTACATATATCCCATATATAGATTTGAAGCAGAACTTTATTTTGTGAAAAAAACGTGATAATTTCTATATACCTATATATCATTTTCATAAACAATATAAACTGATAAGTGCAGTATTGAAATAATTATTTTATAAAACATTTTACAATTTCGTTTAAAATTTTGAGTACTAAGTTTTTGTTCTTTTAAAGAAAAGTCTTCGGAAGAGTCTGGATCAGCAAAAATAATGCAACAATAGAATAAGGTTTAATTAATGAAGATTTTATTTTATTTGTTGTTGACAGTTTAGCTTATGCATTCTATACAATAGCTGAAATATTTAATAACCGTACGAAAACTCAACATCAACAAGGTGCTTATATCGTATCCAACCGTTTGGTATTATGTTGATGCGTGGTAGAAAGTGCCCTAAAATCTCTTGATTGTGAAACGACGGACATCGATGCGATACGGGTGACATTATGTGTTTTACTTACAACGTCCAATAGTACTGATTATCAGTATTTTATTAAATACTTAGTTGTTCATAACATAACAATGTAAATCAGTTTATGAAAAGTGCAGTCGTTACCCAAACAACCTGTTAGAAAATTTATAATAAAACAGTAAAAAGAGCAAAGAAAACGTTACAATCATCTCTGAAAAAAAAAAAAAAAAAAAAAGGCGGGGCTACTCTAGGTTGGCCTCAGATTTTTGAATCTGTTTCATGATCATTTTTACACGCTTTATATTAGCTTCACCTGTATGTATGTATGTATGTATGTATGTATGTATGTATGTATGGATGTATGTATGTATGTAACCGACTCCTTCGGACTCGATTTTGACCCACTTTAAACGGACAGATTTAATTCAAATTGCGAAAAATTTGCGCACCTGTCAAAGATCTATGACAATGCAATAATCGGAAAAAAATCCTAAAAAATAAAAAATAAATAATAGTTAAAAAAAAACTAAAAAACACGCTCATTAAATTTATATGCCCCGCTATTAAATCTAATAAAGTGAAAAATAATTCCTAATTTAGGCTGAATATGGTAATGAACTAAAAAATACTGGTATTATTGTTAAAAATCGTGGGTTGACGCTCGCCACTAGACCAACACTGCCCTGTAAATAAATGTTATAGAGCTTGGAGACAATGGGGTCTGTAGTAGAATGCAGCATCGTAAAAATAATAATTGTTAAATCATATAACATATCTCACCTGTCAGTAGCCAAGGGCTGATAATACAATAGACCTTGGGCCGGTGAATGGGTTAAACCAACAATGCCGTCCATAAGAGTGAACTTGTCTCCACCGATGTCGTATTCTCCCATGTCAGGGTCTGGGTACATAGATGCGTGGGTGACGCGCCACGCGTTGTCACGGCGACCGTCGTATACGATAATACCTTGAAGGGTAAATTTAATAAAATTATTTCTTATAATAAAAACTTTTGTATTTCCGGACTGTTGATACTTTTTTATTACGTAAACTTGCCATGTCGTAAAATAATGTTTTTGTTACATAATATGAGATTGGTTGAGATCAAATTTAATTTAAATAAAGAACATGCGTTGCCAAACAATAAAATAGAAGAAGGTTAGGGATTCGAATTAGGAATATAGTTGTTTAAAGGTTAATTAGATACTAAAATATTATCAAGTGTCAAAAAAACTACCTACTAACTACCAAATATTTCCATAGTGTTTTCGCACCCCTTAAGAAAGCAACCCCTTTTAAGTCCATTACAATAGGATTATAAGACGAGAAAAAGTGCAGGAAGGTTTCTATGTGTGATACGTGCCTTAATCATTTGAATACAGATAGTGTGAAAATTACTAATAAAATTTCGTGTAAGTCGTTAATCAAATTCAAAGAAAATACGTAACAAGTATTAAGCGTAATGAAGTGTTTGTTACGAATTTTCGACTGCGCAACGAGAAAGTGTATCGACACACGTGGGTGATCTTAAAAGTGTCAAAGTATGTCAATGGCAATGTGGACGTGCCAATTTGAACCTGCGAAATACCTACTAAGAAAAAAATTGTGCGTGGTGGCATGATTGCAATGCTTAGAGATGAATTGAGAAAGAATTATACGTTATAAAAATAAAATTTAGTACTTTAGCTTTGCTTTAGTAAGGTATAACACCTTAATTTCATCACCTGACTAAATTATACCGTAATTTCGTCACACACGAAGGGTTTTAGATTTCTTTATTTATTGTATTCGCGATAACCAAATAAATAAAAAAAAAAAAAAAAAAAAAAAAAAAAAAAAAAAAAAAAAAAAAAAAAAAAAAAAAAAAAAAAAAAAAAAAAAAAAAAAAAAAAAAAAAAAAAAAAAAAAAAAAAAAAAAAAAAAAAAAAAAAAAAAAAAAAAAAAAAAAAAAAAAAAAAAAAAAAAAAAAAAAAAAAAAAAAAAAAAAAAAAAAAAAAAAAAAAAAAAAAAAAAAAAAAAAAAAAAAAAAAAAAAAAAAAAAAAAAAAAAAAAAAAAAAAAAAAAAAAAAAAAAAAAAAAAAAAAAAAAAAAAAAAAAAAAAAAAAAAAAAAAAAAAAAAAAAAAAAAAAAAAAAAAAAAAAAAAAAAAAAAAAAAAAAAAAAAAAAAAAAAAAAAAAAAAAAAAAAAAAAAAAAAAAAAAAAAAAAAAAAAAAAAAAAAAAAAAAAAAAAAAAAAAAAAAAAAAAAAAAAAAAAAAAAAAAAAAAAAAAAAAAAAAAAAAAAAAAAAAAAAAAAAAAAAAAAAAAAAAAAAAAAAAAAAAAAAAAAAAAAAAAAAAAAAAAAAAAAAAAAAAAAAAAAAAAAAAAAAAAAAAAAAAAAAAAAAAAAAAAAAAAAAAAAAAAAAAAAAAAAAAAAAAAAAAAAAAAAAAAAAAAAAAAAAAAAAAAAAAAAAAAAAAAAAAAAAAAAAAAAAAAAAAAAAAAAAAAAAAAAAAAAAAAAAAAAAAAAAAAAAAAAAAAAAAAAAAAAAAAAAAAAAAAAAAAAAAAAAAAAAAAAAAAAAAAAAAAAAAAAAAAAAAAAAAAAAAAAAAAAAAAAAAAAAAAAAAAAAAAAAAAAAAAAAAAAAAAAAAAAAAAAAAAAAAAAAAAAAAAAAAAAAAAAAAAAAAAAAAAAAAAAAAAAAAAAAAAAAAAAAAAAAAAAAAAAAAAAAAAAAAAAAAAAAAAAAAAAAAAAAAAAAAAAAAAAAAAAAAAAAAAAAAAAAAAAAAAAAAAAAAAAAAAAAAAAAAAAAAAAAAAAAAAAAAAAAAAAAAAAAAAAAAAAAAAAAAAAAAAAAAAAAAAAAAAAAAAAAAAAAAAAAAAAAAAAAAAAAAAAAAAAAAAAAAAAAAAAAAAAAAAAAAAAAAAAAAAAAAAAAAAAAAAAAAAAAAAAAAAAAAAAAAAAAAAAAAAAAAAAAAAAAAAAAAAAAAAAAAAAAAAAAAAAAAAAAAAAAAAAAAAAAAAAAAAAAAAAAAAAAAAAAAAAAAAAAAAAAAAAAAAAAAAAAAAAAAAAAAAAAAAAAAAAAAAAAAAAAAAAAAAAAAAAAAAAAAAAAAAAAAAAAAAAAAAAAAAAAAAAAAAAAAAAAAAAAAAAAAAAAAAAAAAAAAAAAAAAAAAAAAAAAAAAAAAAAAAAAAAAAAAAAAAAAAAAAAAAAAAAAAAAAAAAAAAAAAAAAAAAAAAAAAAAAAAAAAAAAAAAAAAA